ACCCACTCAAGCTCCGGCTGATACGGGATGCTCCGAAAAACGAGAACACTCCAGATGCTCCGCAGCCCTCCTAGAATGGGATTATCACCTGGGTCCACTACACCCACATCAGACCGGCAGATCCGGTAGCTATGAAGAAAGGCTTCCTGCCAACAAGAAGGGTGTCCCACCACAAGGAAAATTTTTTCAAACTCAAACTTCATACTGGACCTCGGTAACTTTATTCCTTTTTCTAACCCTGTCCACCACTTGCTGGGGCATACAAATCCACATCAACCTTTTAACCTGACCTGGATGATTGTAGATGTATACACAGGAGACATTCTTAACCAGACCTCCAAGGTGACCCTTCCCAGCACCTGGTTCCCAGAATTATACTTTGACTTAAGGGCCTTATTCACTGGCAGGGGACAATGGGATTTGCGCCAAAGTTACTTCTATGTCTGCCCCGCTCCCCAACCCAACCACAGAAAAAAATGTGGAGGAATCGCAGACTATTATTGTAAGTCATGGGGTTGTGAGAGCTCAGGGGATATATGGTGGCCACCCCCCAAACAGGGGGACCTTATTCAATTAAGTAGAGTCTCTCAATCTGGCATTACATACCACCAACCTAGACCTATAAATAAGGATGCCCAACTCCCCCCAATTGTAATCCCATTATGATAAATTTCACTGATTTAGGAAAAAAGGCAACGAATTGGGAATTGGGTAAATCCTAGGGAGTCAGACTCTACAAAACAAATCATCCAGGAGCCCTTTTTACTTGCGGCGTGTGCAACAACCAGTCTCTACTCTAACAATAGGCCCTAATAAGGTACTTAGGCCACCCTATGTAAAGCCACCTCCCCGACCTTCCACAGTTCATCACCTTCCCTCAACCATAGCCCGGGCTAATGTTACAACTCCAAGACCATCAGAAACCAGCCCTCCCCTGGTGAGGCCCAGTCTCATGACCGGATCTAAAGACCCCCTCTGGGAGCTAGTGGGTGCTGCCTTCCTGACGTTAAACCACACCAACCCTAACATGACTAACTCCTGTTGGTTATGTTATGATGTGAGGCCCCCATTCTATGAGGCAATAGGGCTAAACACCACTCACGATACCTCATCTGAGGAAAACCCTACTCAATGTTCCTGGGAGACCGTAAGAGAGGTCTGACCATACAGCAGGTAAGCGGCCAAGGAACCTGCTTAGGAAAAGTGCCAAAGAACAGACGGGACTTATGTACTGTTATTAACGCCAGTTCTACCTGGGAAAATGCTATTAAATGGGTAATTCCAAAGGACAATGGGTGGTGGCTATGCTCGCGGTCTGGACTCACCCCGTGCCTATCAACTAAGGTGTTTAACAGCTCTAAAGAATTCTGTGTTATAGTGACTGTGCTGCCCCGCATCCTCTATCATTCGGAAGAGAGTCTATATTCATACTGGAATACAAAAATGGTTGAAAAAGGAAAAAGAGAGAACCTATTTCCCAGTAACTATTGCTACCCTACTCAGCCTAGGGTTAGCGGGAGCAGGAACCGGCATAGCTTCTTTGGCCACCCAGCAGAAAGGGATGTCTTCGCTGCGTGCAGCCATAGACGAAGATATAGAGAGAATAGAAACCTCCATTAGCCACCTAGAAAAATCCCTCACTTCCTGTCTGAGGTAGTACTTCAAAACCGACGAGGTCTGGACTTGTTGTTCCTCCAAAAGGGGGGACTATGTGTTGCTCTAGGGGAAGAATGTTGTTTTTACGCTGACCATACCGGAGTTGTTCGTGACTCCATGTCTAAACTTCGAAAGAGCCTGGAACAAAGAAAACGAGAAAAGAGGCCGGGGAAAGCTGGTTCGAGTCTTGGTTTAACCAGTCCCCATGGTTGGCTACCCTTTTATCTGCATTGGCAGGGCCAATAATAATCATCCTATTACTTGTTACCATAGGACCCTGGATTCTAAACCGACTTATGACTTTTGTCAAAAGTCGAATTAATACTATCCAACTTCTGGTCCTCCGCCAACAATATCAGGCTCTTCATCCCCTTGAGAATGATTCCTCAATTTAGGCCGTAAGAAAAGGGGGGAATGAAAGGAATAGGAGGTCTCAGCGGGCCCCAACCCCCTTGTTGGAGAAACCAGTACCAAACGCCCCGTGTAGATAAGATAAGCAATGCGGCAGGGCTCGGTTAGGGCATATAGAATGTGGGGAATGTGAGCGGGAGGTACATGCAAGATGTGAGGTACATGCAAGATGTGAGGTACGTGCAAGATGTGAGGTACGCGCAAGATGTGCTCTGCCTGCTTGCCCAATGTTGATAACGAAAATATGCACGCCACCGCGGTCTATATAAGATTTCCCCTAAAGAGGCTCAGGGTCGTGTTTTTCCTAACTGGTCCTGCGTGTCCGTGTGGGAGCTCAACCCTGGCTAGCCAGCCCAATAAACTCTGCTTTGTAGGTTGCATTCACGCCTGGCTCTCTGTCTCTCGGGGGAATAGGATTCCGGGTCCTAACAATAATGATACTGGAGTCAGGTCAAAAGCCTCGGCTCTATGGAGCCTCAGTGAACTAGTCCCAGCCACCTTAATCCCATCCTAGAAAGTCAAATAGAGAGACAAGCAGCAGTAAAGGCAGGAAGGGAGCATTATTAACAGCATGATCACACTGGGGAGAACTGAGGTCTATCTAACTTCAAAATGCTTCAGTAGTCTAAATGCTATATAGGGAAGAGAAACAAAGGCAAGGGTTACAGATTTCCACGGTAGTCATCCAAGTTGTATTGGCCTGGAGTGGTTTGGTTGACTATTACTTTGAGCCATTGGCTAATCTCAGGATTAGCCATGCAAAGCTATGTTGGTACCAAGAAGGTCTCTGTTGCTTAAGTGGATAGTTTCAGTCTTTTATCTTAAGATTTTATCTTAAGATTTTCAGGAACAATCAGGCCTGTTGTTCCTGGGATATAGGTAACTATAGGGGAGAAAGACTCAGAAGAGCTCAGAAGGAAAAAAAGAAATGAGATAGAATTACAAACAAAAGAGAGTTAGTTATGTCTGTGACTGGGTTCTTCTTCAAATCCCCACTCTCATAGAGATTCCATTTCTATGGATATGGGACCAAAGGTAAGGTCCTGTTACAAGAACACAGTTTACTAGAAGTAGAGGCTATCTTAGTGACTTCAGAGTTATTCTGAAGAGCAAATCAACTTAAGACATTTGAAATTGGTGCCTCAAAAAGTAAACATGAAGGGCCAGGTGTGGTAACACATATTTGTAATCCCAGATATTCAGGAGGCTGAAACAGAAGGATCAAAAGTTCGAGACCATCCTGGGCTAGCAAGACTCTGTACTTTAAAAAAGAAAGAAAGAGAGAGAAAGGGAGTGAGGAGGGAAGGAGGGAGGGAAAGAGGAAGGAAGGGCATATAAATCCAAGAGAAAAAATATTGAGAAGGAGTTTTTCAATCTGGGTTAGCTACAGCATATGCTCCCAAGAGGAAGAAAAAAAACATTAAGGAGTTTTTCAATTCAAGTTAGCTTCCAATGGATGTCCTATACTACACTGCTCTGCCACTCAGGATCCTGCAACAACTAATCTTCCTTCAGGGGCAGTGGCAAGAATTAGGTTGTGTTTTGGCCACTGCACTGGAACAGGATTGACCCAAGCCACGGTCAAGGAAGAAATCTGCCTGCCTTGAGACCAGAAGGAAACAAGAAGAATCAAACCCAGAGTGTTAGTTATATCTGTGGGTATCAACCTTATCAGAACCATGATGATAATATATTATTAAAGTATAGTAGACAAAATAATGGTCCCTGAAAGATGTATAGGTTAAATCTCCAAAGCTACGAATGTTACCCTACATATGTTTCCCATGAGTGGACTGTCTCTACCAAAACTCATGTTGAAATATAATCTCCATCCAGAGGAAAGCTAGATTAGGGACATTAAGGCATGACAAAAAAATCCAAAGTGAGTTAAGATCCAGGAGCTAAGAATAAGAACTATAGAAAACTTGAAGTCTAACCATACTTTTAACCTTGCATTAATGATTTGCTGTATATAAACAAATCATGAATAAATATCTCAAGAAAAACATATGGTAAAATTCATTCTTGGACTAAAAGGAAACCTCCTTAAAGGAAAATAAATCTCTCCTAATGATGGGCCTTGCTGGGTGCCTGTGTCTCATGCCTGTAATCCTAGCTACTCAGGAGGCAGAGATCAGGCAGATCACAGTTCAAAGTCAGCCCAGGCAAAACAGCTCCCAAGACCGTATCTTAAAAAAAAAAAAAAATCATGAAAAAGGGCTGGTGGAGTGGCTCAAGGTAGGCCCCGAGTTCAAACCTCAGCACTGCAAAAAAAAAAAAAAGATGGGCCTTTTCTGCCCTTAAGTAAACTTCTAAAAAAGCATCTGGCAGATTCTCAAACATATACCATCTGTGTCAACTGAAGTGACTTAGTGATTGCCTGCCTAGCAAGCATGAGACCCTGAATTCAAACCCCAGTACTGCCAAAAAGAAAAAAACAACTATAAGATGCAATTAGAGGATGCTACCACAACAAATGATTACATACCAGACAGTCAAAATGAAATAGCAGGCACAGAGATAAGGAAGTGTAGACCCCCCCACAGACTGACTTGAGCCTTATAATATACATTACACGAAGGATGGCACATTGCTCACGTGTCCACATCTCCAGTCTATTGGGGGTGCTTTTTTCCCTTGCTTTGCTAAATAAAACTTCTATAAACTTCTCACCTAACTAGACTCGTCTGTAAGTTCTTTTCTGTGATGATGTCACAAATTTAGTTGGCAGGGAAGCCACACAGCATCCTATGTCACAAGCTTGACACACTGGGTTGAGGTCATGCCCCCTTGGGACATACTTGGGTTTGAACCAATCCTGGTTCTGGCAACATTTGGATAATGACTCTACCAGGACATCTGAATGGTAGTTCTGGTGGCAAATCCTGAGGTATGAAGAGGGTAGGATCTTAACCCAATTATGGTATTCGGAGATGGACTCTGTGAGAGGTAATTAAGGTTAAATGGGGCCAGAGGGGGAACCCTAAGCCAAAGGTACTGTGGCTTTATAAGAGGAAAAGAGACCTAAGTGAAAACACCCTGTCTCACTATGTGATGCCCTGTGTTGCCTTGGACCTCTACAGACAAAGTCTCCACCAGCAAGAAGGACCTCACCAGGTGAAGCCAGCCAGTCTTGAACTTCTCAGCCTTCAGAATCATGAGTTTAAAAATAAACTTATTCTTTATAAATTACTCAGTCTGCAATATTCAGTCATAGCATCAGAAAAATGGACTAAGACACATAGCAAAAGGGACTTTTAAAATGTAATTAAGGATTTTGTGGTGGAGATTATCCTGGATTATTGCTGTGGGACCAATGTAATCACAGGCATTTTAAGAGGAAGGCAGAAGGGTCAGGGTCAGAGAAGGAGACATGGCAATGGAAGCAAGAGGGTCTGAATCAGAGAGATATTTTACGGTGCTATGTCATGGACATTAAAGATGGAGGAATGGGTCATGAGTCATTCAAGAGACCGCTAGAAACTACAATAAGAAAAAGAACAGATTCTCACCTTAGAGCCTTCAGAGGGAGCACAGACCTGCTGACACCTTGCTTTCAGCCTGGTGAACCTCATTTCTGGCTTCTGACCTCCAAAACTGTAAGATGATAAATTTATGTTGTTAGAAGTCACTAAGATTATCATAATTTGTTACAGCAACAATGTAAAACTAACATATAAAGTGTTATACTTAATGTCATTGCAGTAAATATTATCTGACATCCCCTCTGCTACTCTGAAATGAAACTCTTATAAAATTTCTTAGCTAGTATCTTTAAAACATGTTATTAGCCTACCCTAACAAGGAAGAAAGACAATAAAAGTTAACTTATAATAAATTAACATATATTAATTGCAAATATAAATATGCTCATTAATATGCTTGTGTACAATTACACTAGAAAACATGATAAAGTGGTAAGACATTTGCACCTCTAAGTGGAATCACTACGATAGTGTGAGCTAAAAATGCAGCTTGATTTGGGAGACACAAATACCACAAATATGAGATGGGGCATTTTCTGAAATGGTAAATGTCTCTTAGAGTTTTGAGCAAGCCATTGCATTCCACACAAGGGAATGACAAGAGAAAGTATAAATTTTCAGCTAACAAGAAGTTGCATTCCTAGAAAATCCACTATGTATTAAAATGTTACAAAACTACTCTATGATTGCATACAAAACAGAGTTTTAGACTCACGTAATTATAAACAGATTTTTCACCTACCTGAAGAGCACATATGGCTATTTGAGATGGTACAAGATGGGCAGATTCTTTGTTGATAAAGCTGCCTTCCACCTTTCCAGTACATCTAGCATCTCTGATCAATATCAATGAGACAGGAGGTGTTGGTACTAATTTCCACACTGTGGTGCAGAAAGGGGCACAGGGCACTACTACATTGTATTTCAACATAAATTCATTTAAAATTTTATATGAATTTGGCCATCTGCCCTTGCTAGCACCCTCTCCCCAGGTTTTTTCTTTTACTGGGATCCAATTTTTCTTTGTGGCTCTAATCTTGACAACAGTATGCCATCAACAGCCACCATCACCACACACACACACACACACACACACACACACTGTGACAACCAAAAGTTCTACCCACAGCTCTAAAATTCTTCCTGAATAGGGAAGTTTTCTCCATTGAGAGGTGCTTCTTTCAGGGAAAGCATGTCTAGAGTTTTGAAAGGATTTTTTTTTTTTTATCCTAGTGGAGATGTTGAGTCAGAGAAGAAAGGATTCTGTAAGGACATGAGAGCTTTCTTTGACATTATACATCTTAAAGTATGCAAGAATAAATAGATTAATTCTGTGTTTCCTAAGAGTCCAACTAGAGACCAGGGAAGATATAATTGTTCACAACCTTCATGATCATGTTGCTATAGATGAGCCCTTTATCACTGCAAGAAGTTAGAAACTTTTTTCATTGTTAATGATTTCAATAGGCATCTGGTCCCTTTCATTTTTGTGTCTGGATGAAGAAGTATGGTGAGAAAGGGAAAGAAATAAAACAGCACAAGACATAGGTGACCCAGTCCAGAAGAGGAGTCTGAGCTGGGAGACTCCAGACAAGGGAATGACAAGAATGACCACCCATGGAACAGAATGTCCATGCTGTCTATTTCAGCAGAACTCCCTCCACCATACATATACACACCCATATAAACCAGGAATAGTACCCTGACTATCCCATACTCCCATACCCTAAGTAAGTTCAAGGCAATTGGTGCAGGACATGCTAAGCACAGGTAGTGCTGGGTCCCTAATCATGCACTTCAAAGGTACAATAAGGTGATGTGAAAAGGTCAGATGTAGGGGCTATTTTAAGTTGTTTTGGAGTGAGCCATCAGTGTATTATCACAAAACTAGTGTGGGCTTCAAATACCCTCTTTTTTTGAGACAGGGTATTTCTATATGTCACAGGTTACTATCAAACTGGTGGTCTTCTTGCCTTAACCTCCTGAGTTCTGAGATTATAGGCACATGCCACCATGCCCAGATAAATATCCTCTTAGTGTAAGAAAAGACTCCAATTGTTAACCTGTACCCAGGGTAGAATATGTTTCTAGATGCCATGTTGTAACTGCAGCCATGTTTTTAACTATAGCCTTATATTTATAATATTGTCCCAAGCCTTTGAGCTGATGATCCCAGAGGCCCTGAGAGAGTGATTGCATTCCCCCAGTTGGAAATGTTACAATTTAGGCAATATGAACAAATAAGTAGAAAAGTGGAGAAGTTAAGCAAACCTATATGGCTGTGATAAGTTTTGAATCTTTGGTACAGTTCATCTGCCTATATCAGTACTGTATCCACTACTCTACCATATCCTGGAAAAACTCATCCCTTCTGCTAATGACCTATTGGCTGAGCCACACACCTACAGAGATCACCATCTAGTGGCAAATCAAGGAAGTTGCAAGACTTAACATCTTTTTCTAGGTCCTAATTTAGTAAAAAGGACAGTCTTTTACCATTGGATTCAAACTCCTTTCTATCTGGTATTAAGGTTCATTTAAGAGAGGGGTCTATGAGGATCTTTTAGGACTGTGAGCTAAGAATTTTTTGTACCTTTTTTAATTGTTATAGAAAAATCAAATAACATTTTGTGATACATGAAAATTACATAAGATTCAAATGTTTAAATTGAATCAGAAAAAAAGTCACATTTACTTGTCTACATATTTTCCAAGGCTGCATTCACACTATGATTGCAGAGCTGAATATTTGCCACAGAGCCAAAAGTATTTACATCTGACTTTTATAGAAAATGTTTGCCAAACCTTGCTGAGACTAATAACTTAATGCTTGTCAGTGTTAAATAGGCCAGGGAGCTCATTGCTCCAAAGTACACTCACTGGCTGATTCATAAATTCATTTCATAAACAATGAGAGAGAAGCAAAGAGAAAGTTCTTGTGCCCATCTAGCACTCACATTCCTGGATGAGAACAGCATATTCTCTCCTTAATAGTCCACTATGTCCTGCACAATTACATCACTGACAAAACCTCACATTCTCTCTGGTCCTTCTGTTCTTACTAAAATAGTATGGATCTGGGATCCTGACAGAGTCCTTGCCTAACAGGTGCAGGACCCTGGATTTGATCCCTAGCCCTGCAAAGTAAAATAAAGTAGCATGCTCACTTCTCTTTCTCCCTCTGGCTCTAAGAAATTCTTAGCTGCAAACTGCTTTCCTCCTGAGAATTCCTACATTCAGTTATTTCACATGCAGATATCAACACAGGTATCAAGCACTATGATCAGGGCCCAAGATAAAAAGACACATAAAATGTAGGACCTGTTTTCAAGACATTGACCATGGAAAGGGGATTTGGGGAGAGAACAGAAATATGGTTTAAGAGTGGTAGGAGCCAAAGAAACTTTATCTAGAGCAGCCTAAGATCTTGAGACAACTTTCAGAAGAAGTGCCAGATTAGATAAGTACGGAGAGGGGAAATCAAAACTGGAGGAGAGAGACCATTTCAGTCCCAAGGACACAGTAGTATGAGCAGAGATGGGGAGGGAAATGTGTACAAACAAGGTAGTGAACTTTTAGAGATCAGATGACAAAATCTATACATATACTGTATATGAATTTACGTGTTACGCACATATATACATAACCTGAAAGAGGGAGAGAAAGACCACCGACGGTGACAATGTGTCATGACCAACCAAGGATTGTGTTTAGTCTACTTTGTGTTAAAGGTCATACACGGGGCGGGGGGAGGAGAAAAACCAGGAGATAATGTATTTTTGAGATATTTGCTGATGGAATCCATACATTTCTAGACTTATTTCGGCCTCAGTTGATTTTACGTTCGCGCTCCTCAGCCAGCAGTCCCAAACGCGGTTTCTTTCCTCCAAGAGCAAGACCGAAGCTCAGAGCCGGAACCACCAGGGCGGAAGCCGCTCTAGAGCGGAGCCCGGAAATAGAAAATGGAGAGGGCGGAGCAAACAGGAAGGCGGGGCTAAGGGGCTCCGTGAGCGCGAAGCTCCCTACTACGCAAGCGCAGTAGCGCGCCTCGCCGCTATGGCGCCGGCGCAGTTCTGTCAGCCGCCGATGGTGGCGGCGACTTCCCTTCAGGAAGCCGGGTGTCCGCCCCTCCTCCCACCCGCCTGCTCGGCGGCGGAGGCGGCGGCGGTGGCAGCGGTGTTCCTGCCTCTCCGCCACCTCCACCGCAGCCTATCCCCCGGCCGGCGGCGTTGGCGGGGAGGGGGACAGTAGTTGTAGACGCCCGCCCCTGCCTCAGAGAAGGTGAGTTCCCGCCCCGGCGGCGGGGGCGGCCCGGCCTTCAGCCCTTCATCTCCCGCGGCCCAGTAGAGGCCCTGCGCGCCCCGCCCCGAGTACGCGAAATGGCCGACCGGGGCGCGGTCGGGCTCTCCGCGCCCCCCAGCACCCGTCGCCCTGGAGTGGGGCGCCAGGGCTCCCAAGTGGAGCGTGGAGGGCAAAGGGGCGCCTCACCTGCCGAGGGAGCTGAGGTCTGAGTGGGAAAAGAGGTCAGGGAGAGGAACGGGGTTGGAGGGAACATGCCCTGGACGGACGGACAGACAGACGAGATGAGACGAACGCCCGAGACGTGGAAGGGAGGGAACCTCCGTTTGGTGAAGTTCAGTATAGGGAGTTGAGACATCACAGCAGGGTACTTAGGGAGAGGTGGGCTGAGGAATTGGGGACTTCTAGGAAGTTACATGGGAGCCCAAAAGTGGCAGAGGTCTCCAGGGAAGAGAAGAGTAGGTGAGGGTTTTTTTGGGGGGGTGGGGGGGTCACCTTTTAGCATTTCTAGGCTTTTCGAGGCTAGACAGGTTACTAAGACTTCCAGACCCGTCTTGATAGTGATAGGAGTTTTGGTATGTATCGAATCAGTGCCAGAGATGAAGCTGGACATTAGCTAGAGCGATGGAAACAGGTTTTATCCCATTAGTACTGACAGTACGGGGAAAGCTGAGCTACATTCTCATTTGCTCAGAAGTGACCAGGCGTTTTAAAGGGAAAAAGTGGGTAAGGAGAGGGAAGGGAGCGCTCAAGTAGCATCAGGAAGGTGAAAAAACTACAAAGGGTTAGCTGCAAGTAAGCCAGCTGTGTCTGCTAGCTGGGCATTATCAGTTAGGCTTCTGTCCTCCCACAGAGACAGGAAGACTGGCTCTGTCCTTCCTGATTATATTTCAAAGGAATGGCTTTCTGTTCCTTGAAAGACACTCCTGAGTTGTAGGAAATACCTGTCTCAAAAGGATATAGGAAGGATTCACAATTTTAAGCCTTTTTTAATAAACGTTTTGTTGTTTTTTTTTTTTTTTTTAAAGAAGCCAATACAGGGGTGTAGCTCAGTGGTAGATATTCTGCCTAGCATACATTAGGCTCTGTATTCCATCTCCACCACCACAAAAAAACAGGAGGGTAGGGGCCTGATCATCAAGTGTTGGCTACAACAAACAGTAAACTCTTGACAGCTCAGAGCTTTTCTTCAAGGGGCGGTGAAGGTGGTCCCTGCCTTAGGCTGCTAGAGGACATGTTCAATTTTGGCTCAGACTCTTTGCACAAGGATTTGGGGAGTTTTTACAGTTCTCACCAGCACATTTCCTGTAACAGAAAAGGCTATGCCAATCTAAGAGACTTACGGGTTTTCAAAGTGCTGCACTCCTGCAAACAGCCTGCTTATTGGCAACTGTGAAATAAGGCTTTAAAGCAGTTTTGTAAATGATTTTAGAATGTGGTGCTTTATTCCACTGCAGAACATCTCAGTAAAACATTGAGAGTATTCAGTTTCATAATTTTTAGTATGTGCTATGTTGCCTTATGTTACTATTTATCCCCAGAGGAAGATAATAGAAACCAGAGTATTACAGAATAATTAATTAATATTTCTTTTTCGAGGAGGGACATCATAAATATGTGGATGTCCATAAATAACTATAAAAATAATTTCTTTCTCTTGACATGTATTTTGTGTGCTGATCTGTATCTTAACACATTTCACTTTGGAGAAATGGAAAAATAGTAAAATTCCTTACAACATTTTTGTAGACACTTTATACCATTTCCATTCACTAAAAATATTTAATTAGAAATTTACTGCACCCAAGTGAGTGTCTTTAGTCAGCCCTATTTGAGACTTAAAAAACAAACAAATGAACTGGATGTTTTCCTTTTGTGCCAAACTTCCTGCCTGCCACCAAGTATGCCTGAGCAGCTTATTAGTGTCACGACTACAATTCTCTTTGGCCCCCATGGTCAGATCACAGGAAGATTTGGAAACAGCTCTTCATTTAAAAACAGCTTTCTGCCAGACTCAACATTTGAGGGGGTTTTTTGCAGTGACATTGAATATGAGCAAAAGACTAAAAGATGTCCGTTCACATTTGATGCCAGTTCAAATAACCTTTCTAAACTACTTTAAGATTGTAAAATGAAAATACCGGAATAGGAATCTTAACTAGTAATAGGTCTAGTGCTAGTTTCTCCACTAGCTGTATGATACTGAGTAAATCTGTAAATCCCAAACTTTCTGGATTTAGTTTTATCATATAAGGGTGGGATAATTGTACTAGCCCAGTTGTTCTCAAACAAAGGTGATCCCCCACCTCCAGGATATTTGCTTATCACCAGGCAGGGAGGGACATGGTAAGTGAGCATGTGCTGTAGGCATCTATTTGGTATAGGCCATAGATGCCACAAAAATGCCTAAAATGATTTTAATAACCCCACATACACAATACAGGATTGTCCTACCCAAAATGTTAGCAGGGTCAAGGTCAAAGAACCATGTACTAACCAAACTAACAGTCCAATATGTAAACTAACATCACAACTGAAAGTGATGAACTGATTTAGCAGTTCTCTGTTGATGTTCTTTCATGGTGTAGCTATGTACTGTAATAGTAATTCATAAAATATTAAACTTTGGTCTACAATGTCCATCAGATGACAGTCAAAGATTAATGAAATCTATAGAGTTGAGGTTGAGATTATTCACTAAGATTAGAAAGACAAAATACAAGGTAATTTTTTTTAAAAAATCACTTTTTGTCATTTTATTTCAGGTTAATACCCTTCATTAACAGTTCAGGTAACTGCCATTTGACAAATGATCAATATTTGATATGCTATTTAAAATCTTATTTAAGAGGTTAGGGGTGTGACTCAAATGGTAGAGAATTTGACTAGCAAATATAAGGCCCTGAGTTCAAACCCCAGGACCTTAAAAAAAAAAAAAAAAAAGGACTCAGTATATTTGTATTTTAGATAATTATAAAAGGCTATAATTGCCAATTGTGATAAACAAGAAGAGGAAAAAATGTTGCTTGGTATTAAATTAGATGACAGATAGATAGATAGATAGGCAGGCAGACAGACTATGTTAGAAGATTCCTGCAAAAGTTACCAAAGAGCTGTCATGCTCCCAGTTACTACAGTTTCATTTTCGCTTTCAAAATCCTGATAGGACCACTGAAACTGATTTGAGGCAGAAGACTGAGGCAGTAGGATCACTTGAGCCCAGGAGTTAGAGCCAGCCTGAACAACATAAGACCCTTTCTCAAAAAAAAAGAAGTGTCACATCCCTTTGGTCAATTTGTGTATGTTCTGAAAACTTCTGTAATTAACTTTTTTACCTTGCTGACTTTAACTCAAATACAATTGAGTGTTTTAAAACAAATCAAAAGTAATTGAGAGCTGGGTGCTGGTGGCTCACCCTTGTTATCCCAGCTACTTTGGGAGGCTGAAATTTGGAGGATCACAGTTCAGGGCCAGCCCAGGCAAATAGTTCTTAAGACCCCCATCTCCACAATAACCAGAGCAAAATCAATTAGAGGTGTGACTCAAGTGATAGAGCACCTGCTTTGCAGTCATGAGGCCTTGAGTTCAAACCCCAGTTCCACCAAAAAATAAAAATAGTTGAGATACTATATAATATGTTCACATTCTTTCTAAAATGTTTCTTGGTTGGTTGAGAGGCTCAAGTGGTAGAGCTCCTGCCTAGCAAGCATGAAACCCTGAGTTCAAACCCCAGTACTGCCACAAAAGAAAAGTCTGAGGCTACATAAAGAAAGTAAAATGTTTCTAATTCACAGTTACCTTGAGCACATATATACCCTGGCACTGAAATTAAGCTTAGTTTGAAGATACCCAGTATAATTAAATGTTTATGGGAGTTTCAAAGTCATGCTTTTTGCAAAAGTTAAAACAATATAGACATGTACACAGAGCAAAATAAATGTTAAATGTTCTCCCCTACTTTCCTAACCCCGTTTCCAAAATTCCATTAGACTTAGTCTGTATCTTTCCAACTTTATAAAAATTCAACACACAATATTAAACTATCCAGTTGGACTTACACGAATCTGTAATATAACCCAATATCAAAGTTTAGTAATTATTTCAGGGATTCAGGCCATTGAGAGACTGAGATAAAGCAGAGAGGTATCTGATAAGTGAAAGATGTCTCCCTAGACCATGTTTTCTCACATTAACATGTAAATCTGCCCCAGAATTATATATGTTTCTAAGTGAGGTTCATCAGTAAATTATTAACCATTTCTATTACACCCCAGGGAGTTTTATGGCTTATTCCTGGGGAGCTGTGCCTCATAGATTTTGGGCTTATTTACTATCAATAATCATTAACCAGGGACATCTTACTGAGAAAATTTTAGAGAAGAGGTCTCTCTCCTAGCAAATATCATTAGATATATATGGTTCAAACTCATTCATTTAAATTGCTACATAAAAGTACACTCTTTTTGTTTGGAGTTTTTTATTTTCTTTTTTTTGTATTAGGATTTGAATTCAGTGCTTTACATTTGCTAGGCAAGTGCTCTACCACTTGAGCCATGCTTCCAGCCCAGATGTATAGTTGTGATGTTACATGATTAGCATCTGTATTACACATTTTATGTTGCTGTAACAGAATACCACATTGGATAATTTATAAAGAGATTTATATCTCAAAGTTCTAGAGGCTGGGGATTTCTATACTAAGGTGCCTGGTGCATCTGGTTGGCCTTCTTGTTGTATCACCCCATGGCAGAAGGTGAAAGAGATCAAGCTTGCTGCCTCAGGCCTTCTTAAAATTGACATTAATCCTCTCAAAGTGGTGCCTTCATGACCTAAATACCTTTCATTAGGATCCACCCTCTCAGCACTATTGGACTGGGGGTAAAGTTTCCAACACATGCTTTTTGGGGGTCATATTCAAACCATAGCATTATCCTGTATATAAACTGGTAAACTTCTGTAAAATAAATTTCAGCTGTTAGGAACTTAGATTGAAGTGTAGACTCAAGTGTAAATACAGTAGTTTTGGAGTAGATTATGAGGGAAAAAACTTACGGCAAACATTCTAGATGTTAACGTAAACATTGACTATAGCCTTCAGGAGCTTATACAACCTTGTTGAGTGAAATTCGTGTGGTCATGTTTGTGCAAACTATGGGGGAGGGTTGCCTGCCACAGGTAAAGATGGTTGGTAGTTCCTGTGATTCTCCGATGACTTTAGTTATACACCTGCTGGGGTTGATTCCAGGTACTCCCACCACTACCCCCAATAAGTACCAGCCCACAGATGTTCAAGTCCCTTCTGTAAAATGGGGTAGTAGTTACATAAAATGTAAGCACATTCTCCCATATATTATAGATTACCTGTAATACCTAATTTAATGTAAGTAGTTACTATACTGTATTTCTTAAGGAATAATGACTAGGAAAAAAGTATGTGTTCAGTACAGGCGTGATTTTTAAAGATATTTTCAGTCTGCATTTGGTTGAATCCTAAGATGTGGAAGCCCTAGATGTGGAGGATTTACTGAAGTTAGAATTAGTGATTCTCATATGGATTGCATTTCTTGAGATTGTTTACTATAAAACAAAATGGTATGGCTGGATTTCTTATCTTTCAACATTGGTGCCCCAGACCATTTCCATAAGAGTCCAGTCTTCTAGTGATACCCCAGTAAGTTTTCCTTTAGAGTGGACCAAATAAAAATGTTACACCCAAGCATGGTGGCACACAGCTATAATCTCACCTACTCGGAAGGCTGAAGCTGGAGGATCACAAGTTTGAAGCCAGCTGGGCAACTTAGTGAGACCTTGTCTCAAAATTTTAGAAAGGGCTGAGGAAGTAGTTCAGTAATAGAGCAATTAACTAGCATGCACAAGGCTCTGGATTCCTTCTCCAGCACTGCAAAAGAAAACAAGTTAACCATATGAAATATTAGAAGCATGTATCTTTTTTTATTAAGCAGTACTAAGGGTTGAACTCAGGGTCTCACACTTGATAGGCAGGCACTCTACTATTTGAGCTACTCCTCCAGTCCTACTTACTAAATATCTTCATATTGCCATTCTGAGCAGAAAGCAATAAACACTTGGGAAATTAAAGTTTAAGATTATCTATGAAATGATACTACTAGTTGAGAATTGAAAATATTACTTAATGTTTAATATGATTTTCTGTCTTATTTTCTCCAGAGATAACCACATTCAATGAATAAATACAGCTTTTTATACAAGGCATCTGTGGAGTAATGCTACAGTTTGAGTAGTGAAAGACTTCACATTATGAGGTAAGTTAAAAATAAAAAGAATATATCCTACAAATGCTTTTCAATGTAGCAGGAAACTTCATACATGTCATGTTATTTAGTCCTTCTAAGAGCCCTGTAAAGGGAGTGGTATTGTCCTTTTGATGGATGAGACAAGCTCAGAAAAGAGAAATAACTAACTCTTAAGCTCATTTTCTTTTCCCTGCATCTTCCATTGTCTCCAGAAAGCCACCATATCCTTAATTATAGAAATATGAGAGAAGTTATAAAGCTTGAGCAGGAAACTATTAGTAAGAATCAAGAGATATACCCTCAGAGGCTTCCCTTGTAATAGTTGAAGGTTATAAACACAATATGAGCAACCTTACCCTGAACTTAGCCTTAGAAATTATAGAGCTAGAATGCAAAATGTCTAATAGGTTATAGCTGAAGAAAATGATGGAGAAGGTTAGTGATTCTCCTTAGCTAGTCACAGGCATGACTAAGCATGAAAATTTGATCTGATCTGATTCCTTATCCAGTGTTCTTTCCCTCTATATGATATAGCTTCTTATTCCTTATCTTTCCCATATAAGGGTATTCTAGAGAAAAAAAAATAGTGTTTTGAACACTACTACTTATGTGTACTACATTACAGTAGTCTTTTTCCTTCTCTGTTGTCTTTGTACTCTGAGACCTGAAAAAAGCTATTGGATCTCTTTAGAAATCTGGTACTGGGATACCAAAAGTACTCGATTAATTTACTTACATGAAATGTAAAGCCAGTTACGCTGTTTTAAAGAATTCATCTAATTCTGCTCATTAGTAATGTTGTCAGAAACTGAATTTTAGTTCATGCGTGGATGATATTAAAGTAATAATTACAGTCATGTCTTAACCTTGGATTGAATGGATTTGGATTCATGTCTCAACTCCACCATTAATTGCTGGGCAGGTCATTTGTACCTCTTTATGTTTCTTCAGACAGATTAGTGAAAAGCGATAGTCAAAGGCAACTCTCTGAACTTGAGTTGCTTTGAAAATTTTGAAATAACTTTATAAGATTATAAAGTTAATATCAATATAGAAAAAGACATACAAATACAAGAAAATAAAGAACATTCTTAATTGTGCTTGGAAAATGTTAGTTTCTCCCTTTTCCTTATATCAACATTTTAGTAATGTGGTCAGTTTTAAACTCATTCCAAGATGATTCTCTATTAGGTCTTGAACCCACTGAGTTTATTCATTCTCTTACTTAAGTTTGTAAGTGAGCAGTACAGACTTGTGACAGTTTCGGGATGTCATAGAGGGCCCAGGCATCTTCTGTCTTTGGTCTAAGGCAATAACTTCCTTACTCATATGATGACTGAACAGCAACCATGGTCTCTTCATTCCAGAAGCAGGAGGGCCAAACCCTCCTGATGTCCTGTACAGCACTTAAACGTTCTTTTTATTTGACCAGAAGTTATTCAGATAGCCACATACTGCTTTAAGAATGACCAGAGGACTGGTGGAGTGGCTCAAGATATAGAGTGCCTGTTCAGCAAGTATAAGGTCCTGAGTTCAAACCCCATACCACCAAAAAAAAAAAAAAAAGAATGGCCAGAAAATAGTCTTTTAATTAACTAGTTATGTTGCCTAGAGTTTGTTACCAAAGGGGAAAAAAAGTATGTTGGAAGACAATTGGTAGTTTCTGTCACCAATAGGATTATAAAAATTGTTGGCTTCTAAAGCTAGACACAGCATACACCTATAGTCCCAGCTACTCTGGAAGCTGAGGCAGAAAGATCATTTGAGTCCAGGAGTTCAGGGTTAGCCTGGACAATTTAGTAAGATCCCATCTCTCAAGAAATGAAGAAAAAAACTGGCTTCTATACTGTAGGATTATTTCTACTGAAGCCGTTACTTGATTTGAAAGGAAACAAAACTCTATTCTTAAAACTCTTAGTTCAGACCAAACACATTAAAACTCATGAATAAGTACTATTTTCAGACTGAGAGGTATGAGTTTGGAATCATTTATTCTTCTTTTGGAATCACTTATTCTTAAAATAATTACTAGTTTTTCCAGGGATAAAAAAAAAACAAAACTCAAAAAGTTAGGATTGATTTCAAATTTACAGGATGCAAATAGTAAGATAGATTTTATGAATTTTAAGATGCTTAGTCTGTGTTGATTGTGTAGTTATAAACTTTGAATTATTTAATCTTTATAACAAGATTGTGCTTGGTTTCAGGTGAATGGGAGTAGAGTATTGGACAAAAAAAATAAATGTTGTAATCTCTGCATCATGGTGTCTTAGCTTCCTGGTTGTTGCACAAGCTCACTATTTGCAGATGGTTCATATAGAGAAACTAAAGCAATTAATGGGTGAATATGATCAGATTTCTCCACCAAGTCCTTGGCCTGATAAGGGTAAGGTTTCATTCACCTATTCATATCTGTGCCATTTGTGGTCTTTTGAAGCATAATGTCTTCAAGGACCATGTGCTTTTACTATATACTTTATTTCTTTTTATCATTGTATTAGTATGCCACTTTTTATTTGCCTACTTGTCAGTGGATGGACATTGGGATTCTTTCCACTTTTTATCACTGATAATATTTATTCCATTATGATTATTCTACCATTTGGCTTATCAATTCACCTATTGATTGACATTTCAGTTTTGGTTTCTTTTTCCCTTTCTGGGGCTATTACAAATAAAAATGCTGTGGACACTCATGTATAAGTCTATGTATAAACAAGTATTTCCTTTTCTTTGGGGTAAGTGGTATAACTGGATCATTTGGTAATGGTCATTTGATATGTGTAACTTCTTAAGAAACTGCCAAAATGTTGTCTAAGTGGTTGTACCCTTTCACATTCCTGCCAGCAATATGTGAGAGTTCCAGTTGCTCCACATCCTCACCAAGTATTGTCAGTCTTTTTAATTTCAGTCATTCCACTGAATGTGCCATGGTACCCATTTTGACATTAATTCACATTTACTTGATGATTAATGGTTTTCAACATCATTTCATGTGCTTATTGGCTATTTAGATATATATTTTTTTCTGAATTATCTGTTAAAATATTTTGCCCATATTTAATCAAGTGTTTAATTACTGTCCTAGTCAGAATTGTTATACTATTTAAGTTGAATAGGCACTAATCTTTCTAACTCACCACATTAGGCTTCATTTAGACTTTTCTTTTTCATATCAAGTTCTGGAAAAATAATTGATCATTAGGGACTCTGAAGTGCTTTGTCAGGCTTGTTTCTGTTAAAGGGACTCAATATTCATTTCTACATGGGTTTTACTGCTGCCTCCTAAGTTTTGGAGATAAAAATATATCACCAGAAATGCTTAGGGCATTATCATCTCATAGTGAGTATACTTTTTGCTATTTTTTTTTTACTTATTCGGGATTTGATGTAGGGGAAAGACAATCAGGAATAGTACTGCCCACCATACTCCAACCCTCCTCCCCCCAAATCAAACAGCCAAACAAAATCTCTTATATCTTCTGTAAATTACTTATGAAACTTTTTCTATATCAGTTCTGTCCCCACCATGTTCATCTCCATTTTCTCCTGTTTCCTCCCATAATCCTCCCACCAGTACTTTGAGAGAACAAACCAGAAGGCATTCTAGAATGCTTTTTTCACCAATCAGAAGTAATGGAATGAAATCTTAAGTGCTGTGCAGAGATACAGAACTCTGTTCCCTCATCTTCTCTTATGCCCTATCCCCAAGAGGAGTTTTAATTTCGTAGCTGAATTTCTTAATTTCTAGCATTCCCAAACCATTTTACAAACATCCTTTTATTATTAAGCCATACAGTACTGTAGTCAGGTGAGTATGTATGTTTATTTTGTTTCAGTAAACTGAAGATTTTGACTATCAAATTAATTCTCCATTGTTCTGCTACTCTCAGAAAATAGTACACAGGAAACTGATTCATCAGAACTTAAGAAATTATCTAAACATTCAGATCAGGCCATCTACCACAGATGTGTGGTTTTTATTCACACATCCCTACATGTCTTACATTTTTAGCCCTATGACATTAACCCTATATGTCATCTTTGTACACATATTCTCCCACTTTAGAAGGGTAAAGTTACTTGTGAGTGGCCTGGGAGATGTTTAACCATTCCTGTGCTACTTTTGACATACATTAGCATAATACTTAACTTTTATGCTAAAGTAGGTTTTAATTTGTTCAGATTTTGGTTTTGTTTTGTTTTGTTTTTTAAGCTCTTTTCAAGAGCAAAGGAATTATTCAGAACAAAATAATCTAGCAAGGATTTTTTTCCTGTCTTCTCTACAGAGAATCCCTTTTTGTCAACCTAATGAAGCATTCAAAGAAGTCATCTGACTCTTTTCAAGATGAACTCGAAGATTATATTAAAGTACAGAAATCCAGAGGCTTAGAGCCAAAGACTTGTTTCAGAAAAATGAGAGAGGACTATTTGGAAACCTGTGAGTACAGAGAAGAGGTTGATTCCAGACACAGGTATAGAATGTTTGATCAAAGACTCCCATCTGGAACTATGCAGACCTACCCAAGATCATGCAATATTTCACAAAAAGTAGAAAACCGGTTGCCTCGGTGGTTACCAACTCATGACAGCAAGCTGAGACTAGACTCTCTGGGCTACTGTCAATTCACCAGGGACTGTTTCTCAGAAAAACCAGTGCCCCTGAACCTTAGTCAACAAGAATATAATTGTGGTTCATACAATGTAGAATCCGGAGTTCACAAGCACCTCTCCTTAGAACACAGTACCAGTGCCCCTCAAACCAGTCGTAAACAGATACATCAGAAGAGGAAAAGGCACCCAGAGGAAGGCAGAGAAAAAACAGAGGACGAACGGCCCAAGCATAAGAATAAAAGAAGTTCTGAGGAAATGGATTCAGACAAACATAAGAGCATCCAAAGTAAAAAAACAAAGGTGGAAACAGAAACTGTACAGGTCAGTACAGAAAAGCTTAAGGATCGAAAGCAGAAAAAAAACCGAGGTGCATCCTCTAAGAAAGAGGACCGTAAGCATAGAAAAGAGAAAAAGGAACATGGCAAAGAAAGGACAGAGGAGGAAATGCTTTGGGACCAGTCTATCCTTGGATTTTGAAGTTAAATTGAAAAAAATAGTTGGAACCTGGTTATATGATGTTCATGTTCTTACCACTTTTCTTATGTGAGCAGATACTTTTAATTTCTAACAAAGGCCAAGTGAACATGAAGTATTTAGTATACTTGCTCTTCACCATGGAAATTACTTTTCCTCATTTTCCAAAAGAATTACTACGTTTTTCTTATATATAATCTAACTTCCCTTTATGAGAGTGGCTCTTACTTATCAAATTGCTGTGATGGTGAAATTATTTTCCCCTAGTAGATGATTTATTTTAAATTGGAGGATTTGTAGACTGCAGAATCTGTTTCTTTTTTGGGTTTGTTTTAATTTTGAGTCAAGATTTTTTTAGTTCATTAGGTTTCTCTATGATGCAATTTAGGTTTTTTTTTTCCTTTGTTCTAACTTGCAATGTGTTTTCTAGGTTGAAAAGTGAAATACATTATAATAATAATAAGCTTATATTACATATAGTTTTAAAATTTTCAAAGAGTCTTCATACAAAATCAGTTTATATTCTGAAAATGTTTATAATAAAGTGTTCTAATTTCTGCATGTTGTTTTCTGTCAAATCTGTTCCTACTTACCTGTGATGTTCTTTTGGAAGAAAAGCAGTAACTGGGTAGTTTGTACTTAAGTGTTAAGATCTTTTTAGTAAATCACACTATGAACTTGTGAAAATTTCTTACCTACTACACCAGGCTTATTCATATTTGAATGCAGTTTTTAGCACAGAAATCTATGGCTGGCCACAATTTTTCCAAATAGTTAAAGAGATGAATTTATAAGAAATAAAATTCCAGAGCCAGGCACTGGTGACCCATGCCTATAATCCTAGCTACTCAGGAGGCAGAAGGATCAGAAGGATCTCAGTTCAAAGCCAGCCCCAGGCAAATAATTCAAAAGATTCTTACCTTGAAAAAACCCTTCACATAAAAGGGCTGGTGGAGTGGCTCAGGGTGCAGGCCCTGAGTTCAAACCTCAGTACCACAAAAAAAAGAAAATTAAAATTCCATTAGATTATTCTATCCTGGCAACACTATAAGAATTTTCAGAAAGATGCCAAGGTATGATTCAAATGCAGCAGTTAGCACACATCTGAACATTAGTCTCTACTAAATATATCATGTATATAATTTTTTAAATATTTTATTAAAACTATAGAAATTGGTCAGGAGAAGACTATAAATATGTGATACGATAATCTTGAGGAAGCCATTACAGCTTGCACAGTAATTTTCAAAACTTTTAGAACTTTTTTCCATAAAATGTCATGGGGGGATCCTGTTCCCCACCTCAACCCAATATTCAAATAGATTATATAAAGCTGGTTAAAGCTGAGCCTTTTTTGGCACTTGTTTCCTCTTTACTTTTTGTTTCTAAGGCTTCTTCAAAGATAGCATTTCCCAAAAAACAGAACCTAAACAATTGAAGGTTTAGGGAGGCAAATTCTGGCTAAATTTGAAAAATAATTGTCAAAAACAAGTTTAAAGAATGGAATTGACCAGTGTAACATGAACACATATTGAGAGCACTGTGCCTACACTATGCCATGAAGGAACCTGAGAAAGAAAATGGGAATTTGGGCTGTTTCTCATAGACATCTTGCAACCCAACAGAAAAAGCCAGCTAGTCAGAGGGCAGTCTCAGTCCAGGGTGGAAAGGCTACAATAGCAGTGGCAAGGGATGTTGAGGCGATCCAGTGTAACTGACTAATTGGAATGGGAGAAGACTTTGGGGAAAGGTTTCACCAAACAAGACATTGAAGCAGACATCTACAAGGACCAGTTCCTTAGAAGAAGAAATGGGAAGTGTATTCCTAATAGAAGCCACCTGATCAAAAAGTCTATAAATGTTTGACAAATTGGAATTTTCTCTGTTATGCTGAGCCTGGAAAGCAAAGAAGTCTCCTATAAGCTATGTTAAGGAACTTGGGTTTGTCACTGGGACAGAGAGAAGCTATTAAAGGCCCTGGGCAAGTTTGAGTTCTCTCTTTTAAAAATCTAGAGGATTTGACTTCTGTCATCCCAATTATCCTAACTCCTTTCATTACATCCTACAGTATGTCTATATGGAGTTGGTTGCCTGGCAACCAGAAAGGGTGCTATAGGAAATGTAAGGTCCCTTGGAAGAATCATCAGAGGAAGCTCAAGAAACCATGAAGAAATCCAGAGGAAAGGAGTTTTTAAGACAGGTTGACTATAAGGCACTGTCCCTCAGAGCTTAGATGAAAGGACTTGTGCCTCATGAGTTGAGGGAACAAGGAAGTAGGCCACCTCTGAAACAACACCCCACTAGGCATTATGTGCATAATTTGTTACATGAAACAAATTACGGAGTTGAGGCAGAGCAAAACCAGAACACAAAAGACCAGGCAGGAGGCTGCCTCAAGTCCTGGAAAGAACATGATTGGCCTGAACCAGACCAGGGCAGTCAAGTAGAGCAGCAATGGTGATGTTCATGTTGTGGCTCTTGCAGTCCCGAGGACGGTGATAATGCTTACTGACATGGACTCCAGGAGGAGGTGGAAGGAGTACATTAGTTGGGGGTTAGAAAATGAAGTTCGAGGAAGGGAGGGAGGGTGACAAAAATAACTCCATGAAGTTCAATTTTAGACATTTTGAACTTCTGCCCATCCCAATGGAGAGGATCAGTAGCAAGATGTTTGAATTTGGAGCTCAGGAGAACAATCTGGGATGGAGACAATGTTTTGGCAGGCATGGCAGATCAGAGCAGCTCACATCATGCCAGCCAGGAGGCAGAGAGAGAATGTAATTGACTCCTTTTTCCCTTTTATTTCATCCATGCCCCCAGCTGTGGGGTGGTGCTGCCTACATTGAGAGAAGGTCCTCCCCATTAGTTAACCCTCTCAGAGATATCCAGGGGTGTGCTTTACTAATCTAGATGCTTCTCAATTTAATCAAGTTATCATGAGTAACCATCACAGTGTGTGTATCTGTATATTCATATATGTATGTTTATGTACATCTATAAATACAACTATTCATATACATATATTTTGTATATGTATAAATACCAGCTGGGTGTCCTCTAATCCAACTCAACCTGTTCTGTCTACCTGAAGATAGAGTCAGATCCCACAATGTGAGTCCTCCAAACTCCTCCTCCTCTCCCCCTCCCACTTTAGATGTGAATCATAAGACCCAGATTGTGACCTGTGCATCTCACTAAGTGGCTATAAACCAGGGTTTATAGCCTCATCTCTCTACTGGAATTTTATTGATTGGCTAGTGCAGTACAACTCACAGAACTCAGGGAAACACTTACTTAGACTTACAGGCTTATTATAAAGGGCATTACAAAAGGTACAAAGGCATGCATAAATTGAGTCATCTGGAAAAGGGCACAGAGCTTTCCTGCCCTCTCCACGCAAGCCAACCTCCAGGAATCTCTATGTTCAGTTATCTGTAAGCTCCCCAAACCTGCAGCAATAAGAATATCCCTTCCTGTTGGGTACTGGTGGCTCTTGCCTATAATCCTAGCTACATGAGAGGCTGAGATTGGAAGGATCACAGTTCAAGGCCAGCCTAGGGAAATAGTTTGTGAGACTCCATCTCCAAAATAACCAGAGCAAAATGGGCTTGGAGGTGTGGCTCAAGTGATAGAGCACCTGCTTTTTGCAAGTGCAAAGCCCTAAGTTCAAAGCTCCAGTCCCACCAAAAAGATAAAAAAAGAATATCCTTTCCCTACACATTTCAATATCATTGAATACATTCAATTTGATGGCAGTGCCATCAAAAATAATTCCTCTTAGTCAGGAAGCCATGGCTCATACCTATAATCCCAGCTACTCAGAAGGTAGACATCAGGTGAATCACGGTTTGAGGCCAGCCTGGGCAAAAAGTTAGTGAGGCCCCCCCCCCATATCAATCAATAAGCTGGGTGTGGTTGCACACTTTTGTGATCTTAGCTATAGGAAAAAATGAACAGAACATACAAGACTTATTGGACACCACTAAAAGACCACATATACATACAATCAGAATAGATGAGGGTTGAGAGCTTCAGGATAAAAGCAAATAAAATGTATTCAGTGAAATAATAGCAGAAAATTTCCAAAATCAAGAAAGATACAGACATCCAGTTACTGGAATATTTAGAACCCCAAATAGATATGACCAGAAAAGAACCTCTCCACATTATATTAATTTATACTTAAACTGTCAAAAGTACAGAGTTGTGACATACTCAGTGGTAGAGCACTTTCCTAGCATTTTCAAGGCCATAGGTTTAATCCCCAGCACTGCAAAAAAAAAAAAAATTACAGAACAGAGAAAGAATATTAAAAGTTGCAAGAGAGAAGTACCAAGTCACGTATAAAAGTAAGCCCATCAGAACAACAGCAGATTTCTCAGCAAAAACTCTAAAGGCCAGGAGGGAATGAAATATTCAAAGCCCTAAAAGAAAATAACTGCCAATCTAGATTACTAGACCCAGAAAAATTATCCTTCAGAATTGAAGGATAATAGAAGATATAAAGATGTCCCAAGATAAGCATAAACAAATGTAGTGTCAGTGGCTCACACCTGTAATCCTAGCTACTCAGGAGGCAGAGATCAGGAGGATGAAGGTTAAAAGCTGCCCAGGAAAATAGTTCAAAAGACCCTATCTTGAAAAACCCCATCACATAAAAGGGCTGGTGGAGTGTCCCAAGGTGTAGGCCCTGAGTTCAAGATCCAGTACCACAAAAGAAGAAATAACCACTCAACCACCATTATAGATGATACTTGAATCCTACACCCAGAAAAGAAAGTAAGAAAAACCCAATCACGAGAGCATAGGAAATAAGAGTGGATAAGCAAATGAGAATTAGGAAAGAATTAAGCATGATTAGCTCAGTAAACCATCAAACCTCTAAGATGGATAAGGGAGAAAAGAAGTGAAAATAGATTATCTAAAACAACCAGAAGAAAAGCAACAAAGTGGCAAGGGCTACTACATATCTTTTAATGATAATCCTGAATGCAAATGGTCTTAATCCTCCAATTAAAAGACACAGACTGTCTTGATTGTATTAAAAAAAATAATATACTGCCTGCATGAAACTCACCTCACTGGCAAACTTAAGCACAGACTAAAACTGAAGGTGTAGAAAATGATAGTCCAAACAAATGGAATTCAAAAGCAAGCAGGAGTAGCTTCAAGTCAAAGTTGACAAAGGGAACAACCCAATGTACATAATATGTATGTTTGTGTGTGTGCATAAATACATATACCAAACATTAGAGAATGTTATAAAATAAGCAGTATAATAAATGGAGAAATGAATTTTTAAATTGTCCTTATTTCTTCAATAGCCCATCATTCTTTCAAAAGTATATTGTGCAAGCATATTGTTTCATTTGATTCTAAAAGAATTCCTAGAATCAAATGAAAATGGCCCCAGTACAATAATAGTGGGTGGCTTAAATACCCTACTCTCACCAAAAAATAGATCATCTAGACAGAGAAAGTCAACAAAGAAACATTAGAGTTAAATTGCAAATAGATCAAGTGGACTT